TAATAGCTTACACTTATATAGCGCTTTTCTGGACACTCCACTCAAAGTGCTTTACAGGTAATGGGGACTCCCCTCCACCACCACCAATGTGTAGCCCCCACCTGGATGATGCGACAGCAGCCATAGTGCACCTGAACGCTCCCCACACATCAGCTAATAGTGGGGAGGAGAGCAGAGTGATGAAGCCAATTTGGTTATGGTACGTTTGTGAATCTTAGTCCTAGGAAGGAGATCAGTTGTTGCATCTGGAAAAGCAAGACTGTTGGTCAGCTACAGTGTACATCTGTACACTGTACATCCTACATATCCTTAAACATAATAGAATGACATTACAATTCTCTATATCCAGTACACCCACAACATGTGAATGCGTTACAGAGCGCAGAGGCTATGAAAACTCATATTTCAGAGAGAGATCCTGTGCAGGAATTTTTGGATTTTCAAACTATGATTCAAGTACAAGAAAATCTGTTTGTATGTGGATATAAATAAAAATTAGGATTTATAATTTAATTTAATCTTCAAATACAACTCTGCCATTAAAATGAAAGTCGCTTTGCTTTCTCGGAAATACACTTATGTGCGACAGTCGCACACATACCATATATAGAAGTGTATTCATCAAATAACTCTTAGACTACAGGCAAAAATGTACTTAATTCCAGAAAGAAAAAATACGCAAGACGGCCTGTTATATCGCTTTTATTAAATAATGTGGTCTCCGCTTCCCCCCTGTGGCCATGCAGCAAAACTACAGCTATTTCTCACGTGACCTGACTCTCTGAAAAAACGGACCAAACTGATTAGCTCGACGGTACGGCCTCTCGCCTGCCATTTGACCTCACAAACCTTCGGCTAAGAGTTGAAACTCTGTTGAAACACCCAACGCACCTTTCAGAAAAAAACGTCGTATCGGTATTTACTCAACCTGGATTGGAAACTGAATTCCTACAAGGTTTCGGTTTATAAATCTGTTGCGCTCAACCGCTAGCCCCGCATCCACCTCTCCTATTGTGCAAAAAGATTTATAGTTCCTTATTAAGTTATTATTCAATATCAACTAGTGCGTTCATTAAATATGCAGATTGCAAAAAATGGATCCTATAATACTTAACCATTAACGAAATGCGTTAAAAATGGTTGTTGTTTTTTTTAATTGGATGATCCTATTGAGTGAATACCGAGCAATATGACAAAAGGTACAGCAGGAGGCGATGTTAGCTGAGAAATCAGCCTTCGTTGAGGCTGTTCGAGGCTGTGTATGGCCGAGGAGCAA